ATTAGTTCATCAAAGAAATAATAAAACTAGATCACGATATTGTTCCTATATGTTATATAATCGATAAAATAATTTATGACTTTGGGTATTAGAGTTTCATTAAGCTTTATAATGTAGTATATGATGCGTAAGAAATTCCGTATTTAAATAATGTAATGAATAACATTTCTAGGCATATTATTTTACTAAGACAGAAATGTGTATCCTTAAAATATGTCAGATTAAAGTAGGTTATATAAATAACAAACGTAATAATGTATTTTCATATATGTATATATATATACATATAAGACTTGCATAAGTATTGAGAATTCAGAAGCCGTCTCAGTTTTTAGTATTCTTTGCATCTAAATGGACAAAACAAATGATTTATTTCGCTCTGAGAATAGATGAAAAAAAAAAACGTTATCAAAATTAAGATTTTCATATTAAATGGCGATATTTTTAGCCATGTTTAAGATAATGAAAAACATTCTTCTTAAATATTACTACATAGATATCATACAATATTGAGATTATTGCTCATTAAGATGTTACAATAACATTGACCTCTAAATCAGATGTGTGACCCAATCATAGGTAAACATATCAAGACACATTCATACCGACGCCAAATATCGCAATTCATTTCATAGAAGTTTCACGTCTTTTTTTTATTATCAATACATACGTGCTTGAATATTTAATTTTGATCTCCTTTTATTTTCCATAAGTTATAGGGCGATAGAAATCGGAAAATAATAAATTATTGTTCCTGTCGTATGTTTCAATTATTACTTGACCGCTAAAGTAGGAGAGTTATGTTTTTCGAGTGTATATATATTATATGGCTATATTTCTTGGGTACGGCCTAAAGCCTAAAAGGTTTGTCGTATTTTGTATGACTTGTGTCAATAGTTCAATACTCAATAGATTCGTTTGATCGCGAGAGTGACACAGGGGTCATCAACATTGATAAATTTTAAAATTCGGAGCTAAAAAGTAACTTAAAAAAATATAAAGGTTTTAAAGGTCATTTTATACATTTAAAACTTATGTTTTATTAGAGTTTGTTATGGGAAATTGTAAAAAATGACATCAAACTTCACATTTATAACACAAATATGATTTTAGACTTTCCATCTTTTCAAATTGTTCTATTTAATTAAGATGGCGGATCACGCATTGTTTTATTGTTTTTTTCAATAAACGGCATTTGTTTACTGTAAAAAATCGGCAAAAAATATTATTAACTCATATACTGCATACAATAAATAGTTTTAAATGTTGGAATGCAAATTGATATGCAATATATGTATGTGAAATTCTTTTGCATATTTATAAGTGTAATAAAATGAAAATTTTTTGTTAATTTCATTAACAATTATTGAGCATGACAACAAGTATTTTTTTTTTAATTTTAAATTCATCTAAACATAGAAACGAATAATCACTAATTACTAATTAATACTTGAAACTTTGTTTTCTTTTTTCTGTACACAGTCTTATTATTGATATTTTATTAATATAAAAAGTCATAAGATTTCTCAACTGTTTTCAAATAAATAGTTTAATGATGTGATTGACAGTGACATTTGTCCAGTAATTGAAAAAGTACTTTGAAGAAATGACCTAGACATTTAGTAGCTGCCAGTAATAAATATTTAAAAGGTATTTCTTTCAATCTGAACACACATTTATAAGTCGCAACCCGGTCGTGTTATTTGGAATATATTATAGTGTATAGAGTTATTAGTAGTCCTTGCAATGCTTGCCTTTGTAAGGCGCAAACTATAACATGCTTATGTCATTTTGACCACGCAAATTGACGTAATTAGAAATTACATGATCACTTCACGAAACTAAGCGGCCGGTAGAGCGTTACTTACACATGCTGAACGGGGAGTTGGCTATTGTGTAATAGTTTTTATACTTTTATTTGCATTATGTGTATACAGTTAATTAATTCGAACGATTGTATTTGTTTTTAGGTATCAATTAATCATAATCATAATGAAAATATTAAATAATATGCTTATTGCAGGTTATATATCTCTGCGGTACATTTATTTTGTAATAGGTGAAATGAAATCGATTTTATTAACTGTTTTATATGATTTACTTATATTATTAATAAATCATGTTAGAATAAAAATTATATTGTTTCGTCGCTTCGTGTAATTAGTTAGTTAAACTTTGCAAGTATTTTTATTTGAACTTAATACAACCGATTATTATCTATAGATATAAAAACTTCATTGTCTTTTTTTTAATGATGTTGCAAATTGAAAAGCAAAAGTCTATACGCCTGTCAACAGTTATTTATATAGTAATATCTTAATTGGACGTTTCCGAATTCTGAGTCTATCGTCTTTATTATAAAAATAAATATAAACACTGATTTTATAAAGCTCTGTGTTCCCGGAGAGATTTCTGAATAGGAACTAATATTTACAATTGAAAAAAAGGTTTCTCGCAAATTCTTAGAAGTGCAATCAACTTTGGAATTAAATCTATTTGCGTAAAATAAAATCACATTTCTTGCATGAAATAAATTATACATTATTTTTTTTAAATGATGTATTTTATTTTATTTTCCTCCTTAATTAATAACATTCGAAGAATCTCAGTGGTTTCGAAGGAATATTAGTTCGTACGCATGGTATGTAAATTTCGACATCCTTGGCATTTTCTTTCGTGTGCGTTAGACAAATATTATGAGAGGTTGGAGGTAATTGAAGATATATTGTAATGTAACATGAACTGTTTTTATATTATAGCAATTAATTATAATATGTAAATAAAAAATAAGGAGATATCTTAAAATAAATACTTATTACTTGTTCAGAATTATAAATATATAAAAAAGTTAAAAACCCTTAATGGAGATGAGTTCATTAAAAATTCTCGATCCGCAGCCAGGAAATGTTTCACATTAATATTTTAACATTGTTCAGCCTTTTGTATCCATCATCATTACATATCGTGAATCGCTATCTTAAATTTTTAAAGCTTAAACGTTCGTGGCACCTCTATAATTATTTTAATATTCTCAATATTCCCTTGAAATTAATTACATTGCTGTGAGGACAGCGGGTTGTAAAACTATATGAGTAATAATTCCATAAATCCAGGAAGGAGTAACCCTGAGTATGTGGAATCGTAGTTATGCGTCCCATTCATATTGGATTGCCGTGCGTGTGATTGTTGCGTGTACCAACCCTACCACCAAGCATTGATTTTACAGCATATAAAAGAATTTGTTACCTCCCCATTGTCATCTGTTAGTTAGTGATCGCTGCAGTGCCGTGTTGTGTGCAAACAAAGCCGCCAAGGTATCTCATCATTTACTTAAATTAGCATTCAGAACAGAACTCAAAGGAATTGTAGACACTTTGTCACGTGCAGTTTCTTAATAATAATCTCGGAGTATTACAGTCATGTAATGAATTCAATCCAGATTTAACATTTTAAACAAAAAAAAAAAAGTTTTTTAAAATTTAAAATTAGTTTATTTGCAAATGTCATATAACTTTTTTAAATTATACAAATGTTGTGCTTTGTACTGAATATTTTTGCAACTAATAATTTCTATCAGAATCAGTTCTTGTTAAACAAAATAAATTTTCTGAACACGTACACGAGACATTGGATACGTTCTGGAGCTTTTCGATAGATATAGAAGTAAATATTTTGTTCGTTGCATCCGCAACCAATATCAAAGAGACGTTGAACGGAAAACTAAATAAAAATGTCTCAATTCTCGATGGAATGTTTCCGAAGCCGGTGTATATGTGTCTGGGTTTTAGATTTCCATCTTCAGAATAGAAATCAAATTTTACTGTAATGACATAAATAGAATTTACAACACGATACAGTCGCGAACATATGTGTTCAACCGGCTAAATGGATTTTTTATTTGTTAGAGCACAAAGACCCACACAACTTTAAATAATGAATGAAGTGATTGCACCGTTGATTGAACTTTTACATTTTTTTTTTTATAGTAAAATTCACTGCAGCGTTTTGAAAACATATAATATGTTTGCTTCTAACTAAAGTTGCGTATTGATTTATGTTTAATTAATAAAAAAATTAAACAATAAAATGTTTCTGCTTGCTAATATTTAAAAAAGAGTAAAAAAAATCTAGTTACGGTATAATATTGGTTTAAATATAAATGATGATAAAAGTTTGAATGTTTTCGATTAGTATTGTGAAACGAAATTCATATGTAATTTCTTCAATAGATGGCAACGATCTTTTTGGACAGAACAAGGTTATTGTACTTGGATTAAGTCATTTTGTTTGTTAGCACCAATTGTATGTCGAAGGTCGGAAATTGACTATGAAAATTAGAAATGTTTGTGGATGTACAATTCTTCATTTACTTATTTATTTAGCGTATTACACTCTCCTTTCGTGTTTCTCGAACGTATTTCCTAATATGTAGGCACTGTATTAAAGATCACCACTTGTGACCCTTAAAAATATTGGACTTTCCCAGAGTATCCTCCAAATTTACTCTTGGTTTAAGTGTCATCATACTTTGAGTAAATCTATTTCTAAAGATCCACAAGAAATAACGAATCAGAGTTCTGTTTCGTATGATTAAAACCATTTACATAATAAATTCATGGTATTACAGTATATTATTTGCATGGTTATACAGCGCATGATATTCAATCATTCCTCCTGTGACTGCTCAGAATATTTCGCATTCGCTACATTCTCCTGATTTGAATGTTAACATCACAAGGAAGTGATTTCTGTTGCGATTTGAGAATTTTAAAATATTATATAAAATGTTTCCATTTAAATCTAGAATCTCGTCATCCTCAATAAATCCATTATATTGTTAAATAATGAGGAAATTTAAAGAAATAGAATACGTGTACAACCAAAATTAAAATGACTTTTCCCATCATTAAAAATTATTCCTACTTACACTGGTACATTAATTTACTGGATTTGTTGATAAAAAAATCTTTTAATTTTTTTTTTCTTAATAGGAAACGATAATGCAGTCCTCAACCATCATTGTCCTGGCCTGTCTCGTGGTTGTTGTCGCGAGTGTTCAATACGAACAATTAGCAGACGAACATAATGTAGACAGTAACGTCGAATCACAAAACACGCCACTGCACGAGAGAAGTGCGAGAACGAAACGGGGTCTACTGCTTCTTAAGAAGAAACTCATCCTTGGTAAGAACATTACTTTATTGGTCCTATGGTACTTTCTTGTTATTGCTTTAAAACATTTTTATCTCTTGCTTAGATAAAACACATTTTTACATTAATACACAAAATCTTTATCTATAAAAATCATTGCTTAGAGAACTTAAAAAAATATATCAGTATATTCACTGCCAATTTTGTTTATGGGTTTTTTAAGTGCTTAGTGAATTCGTAGCCATGACACGGTATCCGCCTCTCAATATAGGCGAAACTACTTGAATTAATAACAATAAATTGATATTAAATAATGTAATGATAGAAGGTACATCATTTGAACAGTTTATCTCAAGTCATGAGTCAGGCAGAGGAAAGTTTAAATATGGCCAGGAATATCGGGTCATGGACTTATATTTTACGCTAAGATGTGGCCATATTTATTCAACTAGCTTTCCGCCCGCAGCTTCGCCGCGTGGAGTTCGGTTATATCGCGTTTCCAAGAGAACCTTTCAAAAGTCTGGGATAAAAACTATCCTATGTTCTTTCTCAAGGTCAACTCTATCTCTGTACCGAATTTCATTAAAATCAGTTCAGTGGTTTAGGCGTGAAAGCGTAGCAGACAGACAGACAGACAGACAGACAGAGTTACTTTCGCATTTATAATATTAGTAGGGATAAGAAATTACTTAAACTCTACATGTACATGTTATGCGTATTGAAAAATATGTTACATTTCATAAGAATATATTGGTCCTTCAATATTGACATAATATTTTATACAACCTGGTTTTTTATTCATATTATGTCTATATGTACAAGTAATTAGTTCTCATTAAAATGGTGATAAAATTTGTAACCCTGATTTTGTTTGCTTTGGTTTGGTTCGGCACCGTCAAATTATATTTCATATTTGTTTTATTCAGTATATAAAATCATGGCCATTGATATATTATTAATTATTTTTGTAAAAACAAATATTTATACTTTCATAAACCTTTATCTCAATTGTAAATATATTGTCACATATAATAATAATCCAAAAAAGAAAATGTATGTGATAATGTTTTATAAATGTGAATTTGTATATACATGTGTGGTTATGTCAATTTAATACAAAAATCATAATTTTATAGGTGCTTTAGGTTTGAAGGCAGCGAAAGTAGGAGCGGTTGGTGCGGGGGTGGTCGGCGCCCTCGCCCTCAAGAAACAGTCAGTACCAAAAGTGACAATAGAAACCGAACAACGGTATTGGGTTTAACTACTAACAATACATACATATAAAATAAAATTATCATTTACTAACGAATTACTAAAACTTATACAGCATTTTAATAAATGGTATATTTTTATTATATTATTATTTAATATTATTTAATTATTTAAGTATTTTATTACGCTTTTAATGTAACGCTTTTCTGATATTACAGCCATCCAAAATACGTCGAAGTTCATAGGTGAGTTATGCCATATATATTTATATTATGTATCATTCATATGTATTAAAATAAAGCTTTATTATTAGTTTTAAAAACATTATAAATATGTTGAAATTTTATGAAAAGCGCATTCAGATTATAAGTGTAGTGACAATATTACGTAAAGGTAAACGAAGTTCAAAACATTATTCAGGGTTACTTTGTGTAAATAGAATGTATTGAAATCATTGAATGAAGAGATCAGTGTCCGTGACACGATGGAGATAATTATTTACTTACAATTGCAAACACAATAGCATTTGATAATTAATGTAAATGGAAATAAAAAATATATAGGCAAATGAGCATAGATGAATCTAGAAAAGTTTTGTTTTTATGCTTGAATTTGCATCTTAAATAAGTATTATCATCGAAATTATACACGATTGTTTATTTCAAAGTAATAAATATTCTTGCTTTGTAATGAACTTGCACTTTTGTTCTATGCAAATGCATATAAAAACTATGTAACGAAAAAAGTTTATAATAGGAAAGTCATGAAGTGAGTTTAATTTCGCAATATATACATTAAATTCTGTTACATTGATTATAAATTGTGTTATTGGAAGCGCGACTCTCGACAGTATATAGAGCAAATAGACTAAATCAAACAAGAACATGCTTGAATATAAACATGCTCATTTGCAAAACCACACGACAAATTCCAAATACATGTACTTGCTAATGTTAAATCAACATTATGGTACTTACTGTACGCATAAAATGCTTTATTTTACTGAACATCTGTTTGAAGATTTGCGTCACATATGACACGGGGCAAGTCTATTCACAGTTGACATATCTCACCTAACAGGCTCTATTTACGATTTGTGAATAATTATAGCTTTACACAAGTATTTGTTTCGGCAAAACCCGATTTTTATGGTTTCTAAGGAATGCGGATTTCTATGCCCATAAGATTTTGTTGTTGAATATTGTCTATCTAATATATTCGCTTAATGGTAATAAATAAATATTTTTTTTCATTTTCTTTCAGCTGGTCCGGTTAAGCTGAGTGGAATTTCTGTTAGAGCATCTCCAGTGCCGTAAGAAATACTAGAAGTTATCCTGCCACATAGTTAAGATTATTATAGTTCAGACCGATGGGTATTGTTAAATAGATAGACGTAAATTTACAAAAGCTTTAAGTCAATGGAAAACAACAAATAGACAAAATTCAACTATTTCGATTGATTCATAATACTGCCGATCGCCATAACAATACTTCCTTCTTTATTACTGGCAGTAAAAAGAAAGTATAATAAAACCAGCTAATGGAATAGAAAAATCTCAATAGAAATATAATAGATGGGTCATCATCTTAATATATGGGACAAAAAGGTGTTATATGTTTTGAAAGATGTTGCCATCACTCGTATAAATCAATATATGGAAATAATGACAGGAAGGCAAGGGATAAATGCTTACAATATTTTTGGGACTGAACAGCCGTTTCATATATACATTTCCTTTAGCGGGTTTGTCATAATGCCACAGATTTCCTCACCCGGCATCAATTGCTTTCTTTTATTCATCATTCAAGCGGAATTTTTGAATGCTCCATCATAAGTGTTTAACGCCACCGTAACGTTGTGTTTGTTATAATATTTATAACAAATAATGACCTGTCTGTCTTTGTTTTGTTTTTATTAAATGTTATATACCAAACAATATATATTTTTTTTATTATTTACCCTATGAAAAACTATAAAACGAACTAGTTGACCGTTATGTTTTAAAACAAACATTATGGTGTTTTTATATAATGTTTAAGATGTCATTGTCTTTACTAAGTAACTATCATTTATATATATATTAATACCTGAGTTTTTTTTATTTAAAAAGTAAATATTACCTTATTTTTTCATAGTAAATATGGAATAAAAAGTAAAGTAAAGTAAACTGAGTGTTATTGCTTGCATAATGTATGTTTGCGGAATACATTCATATTCAATTCTATTTTCGAATCGATTGTCTGTTACACATACACAGTTTATAATATATTTTTATATGTTTTACTTCTTCTTCTTCTACCTGGCAATTTCCCAGCTTTAGCCAGGGTCTGCTTTACAAGTTGTGAATAGTTTTTGCTACTTGTTTTTACGACCGGCCGCCTGCCTGACATCAATCCTCTTTGGGAATGTATTAATCAGTGATGCCTAAATACTCTTAGAAAGTACATATGCCTCGGAAAAATCACATTGGTACTTGCCAGGATCGAACCCGCACCCTCATGCATGAGAGGCGGGCTTTTTAACCATTAGGCCACCACTGACTTTAATATGTTTTACTATGTATTATATTTTATACAAGTTTAATAAGTAGTGGTAATTGAAATATGTATGTACCGTATTCAAATAAAAAAATATATTTGAAAAGTATGTTTTCTATGGTTCTTGCTCAGTGTTTCTGATTTCAAAAGAAATTCTGCTAGTTCTCGTTAATTTAATATAAACTGGAATAGTATTTTTTTTAGCTCTAAGTTATTTCATCAAAAATCTTTGTTATACTTCTTCGTTAAACAGCTTGTTTAGTATCTGTTATCATTTTTTTTGTGAAAAGAGTAAAACAAGGTGATATTGGCAACATTACCAGTTTCTGAACGTATATTCCAACACGGAAACTGTATGTTTAATATATTATAAGTCCTGTCAGCACCAGAACAGGATTGGAAGGAGCCATTTTACTAAACAAATATTATCACAGCTACGATGGATTCCTGTTTCACGAAAAGGAAAAAAAAAACGTACGATAGAAATCATTTATCCATTCGTTTCATTTAAAAAAGTAATCTTGAACGAGATGTTTAATCAGTATTTTTTTTTGTTACACTAAAATTGGAAATGGAGTAATTGCTTGTAAGCTTGTAAATTATAGGTACGTATCATTTTCATGTTTGAAATCAAAAATAATATTGTATGAATGTAATATATTTTCCAATATTTTTCTAATGGATAGTTTTAACAGTATTTACTACAGATCTGTATGGTTATATTCTCATTCAAAAATATATCTTTTTAAAAACTCTATTAAGCATTAATATGCAATATCAAAACATGTAGTTTAAATTCAGTTTTCACCAACGTTTCGTAAATATTTACGACCATAGATTGAGTTGTGTAAAATAATTTTAAAATAAATAAAATCTTTTTGTTTATTGTTATCAGATAATTATGATATAGTAATAAAGTCAATAGTATATTTTTATATAGGAATTATTTAAAATAATTAAATGTATTCGACAATACTTTTATTAAGTTTACAATATTTTAAATACAAGCGTAAGTATCAAAGAAATAAAAATCAATAAAATATAAAAATAATAAGCAGAATTCTTATATACTAATTCGATTATGTAAGCATGATAGCTTAAAAAAATTTTATTGAAAAAATTATTAAATAAATATGATTTTTTATGATCTGACAACTAGTTTGTACCGTTTGAATGATTTTATGAAACTTGTTTTGTGAAGAAAAACCAATGATGTAATCGGTTCGAGAAATATTCATAATAAATTCAATGCTTAAATAATTTCTTTTCACAACAAGTATTTTATGCGATTGATTTGAAATATGAAACCTGGGAAACAAAGTTAAATAATAATAATCATGCTAAATATCTTGTTCGTGATAGTAAAATAAACATTGTCGGTTAAGATTTAAAAATTCCTGAGAGGTTTCCTTTGCTTTTAATATAGCAAAATACGTAATAATATGAATAACAAGCAATATGACTTTTAAAAAATCCGAGGCAACAAAGAATTTTATTGCATTCCAGTAAGTAAACTTCACCGATATGCATTTAAAGATTACTTCCTTTATATTTTATTATATAAATAATGTTATTACAATTAAAATATAAAATATATAACCAATTAACCGCATCGGAATCTTAAGGGCTATATTAATGTTTGCTCATACGTTAAAATGGCTCAAGTATGATGGTTGACCATGATGTATGTATATTTATACGGTGTTTGTGTATGTACGGTGTCCGTAGACCTTGCGTTCATGAGGTCGTTGACCTTACCTGTGAATTAGCATGCGAAATGAATTATCGTCTGACGTACAGAAAAAAACTTGTTATTTTTCTACATAGTTACCATTGTAAGATATGGATTTGATATATCGTATACAAATACCGTTTTAAATGAATACTAATGGATACTTGTTTACTTTAAATTTAAACATTATGAGAACATATTTAATTTAAAGCAATTATTAAAGGTTACATAACATATGTACGTACATATATAGAACTTTGCTTTAAAATTTAATTAAACTTAATACAAATGTGAATGCAAATAAAATAAAGAATTATAAATATGTTATAAAATAAAAGGATTAAAACGAAACTTTAACTTAGTAAGTGTGTAAATTAAGGTAGTTTTAAATTTGCCGCTTTTTTCGGAATTTTTCGGAATTCAAAACAAAAAATGTAACAGCGGATAGGTCAGTATTAGTAAAAATGGAGTCTTACATAGAATAACGTCTACAAATAATATGTAACGATTTCATATGAAATATGTTGGTAATATTGTTTTAATTAGGTTTTTTTATTTTTCATGTAGCAAAGGAACAAAAACACAGACGGCCTACGTCATGGGAAGTTGTAACCTTCGCCCATGGACATCTGCAACAGAAGGGCTGTTGCAGATGTGTTGTCGACCTTGTTAATGGAGCAAATATTTATTATCATATTATAATGTAAAAAAATAGCAAATCTGTAATTAAAATTTATGTGAAAATCAGCACCCCACAACTTCACCTATTCGTCTAATTCTCACCTATAGTCTTGTCAATGTAACTTGATTATGAATGTCTAACAAAGGAGTCCTAATAAAATACTGAATTGTACTCATATGTATAGTTATATGTTATATTTATAAAAAACTTCCATAAAATTCTTCATAGAATATAAAATTAAATTTTTATTTGACTTCATTATAACTTAAAAGTAACAGAGAATTTTCAAAAAACTTATATTTTTTAATAAAGTTATGGAGTTATGTGAAGTCAAAGGCCTACGTCAATGATCTCGAAATCATATACATATGCGTCACAAGAGGAAATTAAAATCTGTATCAATGAAATTCTTCCATATTTTAACAAAATGGTCATGAAAAATGTTGATAAAAGAGTGCAGATGTAACACCGAAAACCGAGGAGGCCATTTCACCAAGTGTGTTACTTAATAAATAACCCTTACTTTTATATAAATCACTTGAAAATTACAACCTCAACTATGAATACTAAATACTATGGTTTTTACTTGTTTTGTTCATATATTTTGAGATTTCCAATAAATATAATAGGAATATTAAACTCGAGTGGAGGTGTCATTACTACTAGTAGATAATTTTTTTTTCATATTTCGTAAATTTGACCTAAATGGATCAAGAATTCTTAGACGAAGCTATTGTCAAACAAAGTACTATAATTCTCCTTCGACTAATAGATTTTATAGCAGTCATTACCTATCTGGCATTTCGAGAACGGTGCAAATAAATTAATTGTTATTTTATAAATATTTTGGCAGAATTATAAAGACTTAAAATTTTATTAAAATAATAATCTTCCTTAAAAGGGGCAGCTAATTGTGACACTTAAAAGTAATTATAGTAACTTTATTTGTAACACCTCGATTTATTAATTCATTCCTTTAATTCTTTTCATCTCATTGTCTTTTATTCAAGTTTCGAAACCATATTTAACGTTTATTGACATGACATTAAATATAAATGGCGTTGTCATATGACCTTTTAGTAACATTTTCCGGAAACTATTTTAGCCAAGTAAACAAAATGATCTTTATACTATAGCCCATAACGAGACGCTGAGAAGATGTCCATGTAGAGCCCATTTTACGGCCGTCATGATTACTTTTAGCTGCGTTGTATAGATTATCTTTATACGCTTTTCACTTTAACTTTTATTAATGACAGGCGAATGTAAAACAATATATGTATTTACAGTCTATATCAAGAAAAAAAATCTGCATGCTGTCGAAAATATAATAGGATGAAATAGGAAAAATAATTACTATATTAAATTATTTTAATAATTTATATGTGTGGAGAGAAAATAAAGCATGACAAGAAAAAAACTCAAAAAGAAATATTCGCTATCAAAATTTATGAAAAATATCATTTTTGCAAGCAGCAGACAAGTCTTTGACATTGTTGCTATCGCTTGCATTTGCTTCCCGCCTGCTCGAGACGGCTCCCAGAATCCATTAACTTAAATACACTGCGACACTGCTTAAAACATTGTTTGCAGTTTACAAATACAGTTTGTGTGTAACAGTTTCAATGTTTTATAATACTTTTTACATGAATATGTAACGGGATTAAACGTTGAAAACTTTCCCATAAAGTTTGTGTAACTTAATTGAATTGTTAAAAACCGTTTTTCACGGCAAAAGTTATATTAAATGTCAGAACATGTTATGCAGTAATTTACAACGTGTAATATGAAACACATTTTGTAATTCATTAATTACCGTTCGAGGAAAGTCAACATTTTCAATGTTATTATTAAAACATAGCCTTGCTTTTGTTGGCTTCAATTAATTATAGTGTGATAATATTTATAAAAAGCCTTGCACTTGTTGTTATAGAAGCCACTATGAGAATTGATCGACATAAAACTTGGTAAATTTACCTAAAGTTTTAAATAAAATAAAATATTCTTCTGAAATTTATTTTTTTTTATTTCAAACTTGGAAATACGATAAAAGTAGATGAGAGCTTTATTATTAGTAACTACACACATTTATTTTCTTAATAACACGTCGTTTTCTTAATCACTTATTTTGACATTCGTATTATATCGTGATTTAAGATTTTTATTGAAACGACTTTGATATCAGATTAAAGTAAAAAAAAACAGTCAACTACGTATGAAATAAAATGACCGAATTAATTCATAAAATATAAGATACAGCATAACAAAAATAAATCTCTCCATTGCCTCTTTTCTTCAATTATTTTAAGGAATTGCCATGAAAGTTTTTAAGGTCAATATCAAGTTTGCCATTCGAATTTTTGTTTTTTCTTTTATATATTTTTATAGGGTCATACTATTCTCATACATATAATTATTACTTTTAATGAATATTTTATTTCCACTTGCACTATTCTATTTCCTCTGACATCGATCTTCATAATTCCATTACTTATCTAAGCGAGAGAATATTTATTTATGTATCTAGTTATTATTTTTTTTAATATTACGAACATTCTTTAGCATTATAGTAATGTTAGTTTTAATTCATCAAGATTATAATTACTAAATTCATTTATATAATTATAAATATTGTTCTAATGGTAAATGCAATGAAATATACAGATGTCAATGATATGTATGCGTTCGTGTCAGTAAGACTAAATCTCGTGTAAATCTAATCAGTATCAGACTGTGTAAACTGCTGTCTGCTTTGACAATACTAACTAACACTGCTCCTACGATAGTAACCCGGGTGATAGGAATTGTAAATTATGTTTACACACCTAAATTCATGTTAAATATTATATATAAAAATCATACACTAAATATCAGTTCATATATTTGTTATATAAATAAGACATATTTCAAATATCATTACGACATTCAATTTGTATATTATTCAATCTTTAATTTTTAAAATTTTATGGATACTACATATTTTACTATAAAAATATGTGTATTAATATGAGTTTAAATTGATATAAAATTCCTCAAAGTCCATAATTTTATAACGTACTTTTATTAGGCAGAATTTTTTAATACATATTTTATATAAAATTTGTAAAAGAACTTAAAAAATACAAGGGCTTGAGGTAAACGACCACAGAGATAATTTAGATTAACGGACATTTGCAAATTAATTGGTGTTAAAAATTCTATAAGAATAGGGTGCGGCTCGAATCATTTAACCAATGGCATATGTGACGACCTATATAAGTAGCGGACAGGATTCTCGGACACAGTGTGTGTTCAACGTGCTACTTTGACAACAGGTAGGTCCATGTAATATTTAAAAAAATATCTCCTTAATTTTTCTATATTTTTTAATCGCATTTCGAAAGCAGTTTTTTTTTTAATTTGTGATCGTATTACGCCTTTCGTTCAAAGAGAAATTAATTAACTTTTTTTTCTTATCGTAAATTTCAATAAGAATAATAACTTGAAGAGTGAAGATTCTGAGATAAATATTTTTCTTAATTTTACATATTTTAACATAACTCCGCTTAACCAATTAGCGGAATTAGTAAGATTAAAAGACTATAAGAATAATAGGTTAATAAACAGATTACTTAGTATTTTTTTCAAGTTTGTATTAAAAAAGGTTAATATGTAATTTGAATTATGGTACTTTTATAGAAAAAAAAATGAAGGTGTCAATATTGATTTGTGTGTTTGCGGCGTGCGCCGTGACCCTGGCCGTGGAATTGGCACCTGAAGAATTTGTGCAGCCTGTTGACCCTCAGAGTGTAGCCTTACCAGCTGTCAACCGGCCAAAAAGATTTTTAGGTAATGATAGCACCTATATAAAAAACATTACATTTTTTGGCATAAAAGTTTAACGAGATTAAAAACTTATTCAAGTATGAATTTAGAAATAATGATTATAAAAAATAAAACATAATATTTTTATTCATAGCATATTGAACATTTCATAGAAGCATCATTTTGGATATTTTCTTTTTCTTTGTTCTACCGCTTGTATGGAAAAAAGATAAGAGTTATTTATGAACTTGCAGCGCGATACACCATGAAATTGTCGTCAATTTCAAGCCAACTTAACACCAATCTAAAATTTGATGTATAGCCCGGATGGTAGACATTATAAATATCGCTGTTCATATTTAACTCACCAAATTTCTGATAAAATAAATTTTAAATTTAGCATATATTTTAGAACTAAATATATTTTAGGACTGGTAAATATTGTGGTTTTCGATCCGACCAATATATAAATTCAAATGTTTGTATTTGTCTATGGAAGGCGAGTCAATAATGAAATAGCTAACATACCGATTTAAAATATTAAATGTCTGTACAATACTTAAATAATACGTTTTAGTTACAAAAATATCCAATATGGTCGAAGTTCATTAAAAGCTAAACTCAAACGGAGATGCAGATAAAATCTTTTCATTTAGTTTAGTTTAGTTAGTTCATTCCTAATATATCTTTTCTTGGGAGAATAATAAAAGAATGCTATTGGAATTGACATTTAAAATATAAATATAAAAAAACTTATTAATTCATAGTGATAATGAAAAGGCGATATCGTATCAGGCAAATTCTTTACGAGCTAATTTATGTTCTATTTTCAGAATATTTATAAGACATATTATGTTTTATTACTTTATACTTTTCCTTTTTTGATTGTTTATATTTTGACAGTACTTTAATTATAATTTATATAACTTAATCTCTACATATTATTTGATTTTAATCCCATCAGCCATTTCAAAGGATCCATTGTACAAATTGAAGTCAAAGACACAGATGACAGAAACATTGTGTATCGAAGTATATTTTTGAATACTTATACAAGTTTTCATATATAATATTATTGAACAGGTCATGCAATCGGCGCTGCTGGACTGGCTGGAATAGCAGGTCTTGGTGCCCTTGGTCTTGGCGCTGGAATCATTGGCGCTAAGGCTGGCCTTATTGGCGGAGCTTTAGCTGGTGGAGCAATTGCCGCTGGAAGGGGCTTCGGTGGTCATTACGGAGGTTATGCTAGAGGATACGGATACGGAGGCTATGGCGGCTATGGCGGATACGGCGGATACGGAAGTTACGTTCCCTATGGCTACAGGTACTACTTCTATATACATATATTTTATTTCAAGCCTTCGAGTACAATTATACTTAAATTTTTGGCCTTAGAATTTTTATATCTAACTAGAATCTGAGCGTCTATTACTTGGAATAAGGTTTCCTTTCACTATAAACATATATGAAGCTTTGATCTTTATGAGAGTAAATGTGAACGATAAATCAATTCCAAAGCCAAGGTACAAAGAGAAAAGTAAAAAATACATGTGTACAAATGGCGAAAGAGAAGATTAGAACCTGTTAGACGTGTTTTCCTCATAAAATATATGAATGATTAACTTTTTGCGACATTTTTTTTGGGGATTTCCTACAATTTAAATAACTATTCCGTTCACATTACTAGATCATTCCGATTGAAACGATCTTATGAATATGTTAAAAAATGTAAAAAACAATATATTTTGTATAAATTGAAAACAAGTTTTAGTTAGAGAATCTCATATACTGAAATAGAAATGATTTGGTCATTACACCGATGATTTATTACTAATTTTTATAATGTCAACAGTATTTGTATTTTTTATTTCCATTCTCAAAAATTTCTATTTTAGTATATTTAGTTTACTTGTACTTACTCTACCGTAGCTTGAGAACTATTTTTACTTTTCAGGAGTTACTACTACCCATCTGCGTACGTTTACAGCGACCCGTGGTGCTGATTTTAGTTTAATGTTAGTGACATCGTGAGAATTACAGACTGATACAGACTCACGATTAGATTTAAGTTAAATAAATAATTGAAAATAATACGATTTTTACTTAACCATACTAAAAATATCCCAAGAGCAGACACAGCAAAGGCTTTTACTAATTGAGTAGAATTTTACAAGACCATAAGCTGCTTTTCTTTCCTTTATTCATTAATTTAATTTACAAGATATTAAAAATACCTTTTGACAACTAAAACTGTGTGTGTGGTCGATTTCTTAATCTTCTAGCGTTCTTTTCTGGATGCAATTTACTAACAGTAATATGAGTTTGGGCGGTGTGGTTAAGGACATGGATTTTTTTATTTATAACATGGGAATCAGTGCTGTAAGATACCAGACATCGTTTCTATGGAAATTAATCAATCTCCTTAAATATGTATTTATTAACATATGCCATGTAACTTTAATGAAACCAGATTTAATAGCTTGATTTGTTCTCTGTGTTCATATACTGTGACTTCACCTCACTCCTAATTTTAATGACTCATCTGATCTTATATCAAAGTCACTAGTTTGAATAAAAATAAACAAATCGATAATAAAATACTCAAAAAGCAGAATAATTAACATATATGTCATACCAAGAAAAAATCTGCAGTTTAAGAATTACTTTTAAAGTTATTAAGTTATTTTTAATACCTACGTACAAAACTTCATATGTTTAGTTTTACTAAAACGACAGTACAATTAAGAAAATAACTTTTAAATTTCGAAAATAATAATTTTTCAACTAAATCGTTTCTGAATATCTGTAATCAGCCATTTACGACGACTTAAATACTACGTTTCAATTTATTGTTTGGAATAAAGAACTATACTGAAAGCCGATTTTAAATTCAATTAATAAGTATGGATTAATACTGTATGTATTTATAAAATATAATTCTGCTTTTGCGAATATTATTTAAAAGAAGTGGTTACTTTATTACATTTTCTATGACATTACTATAACAACCTTTACTATGTACATGTTTATGAAGGCATCAATTCATTACAAAATACTCCATAATTTTACTTATTATACATATAACACATTGTTCTATATTGATTAGAATTTATAATGAAAATGTCATTTTGATTCTTGGCTCTATAAATTTCATCAAAATACTTTCAAATGGTATCGAAAATTATAATAAAATAGCAAAAGCGCAGGAAAATTAACATTCAGTTTCAATTTCCTAGCTTAATGAGTTATGCATGATGAAATTTTCAAACGTGAAATCGAGTTTACACAAAAGCAAATTAAAATATTATAGCAATACATTCTTTAAATTTTTATACAACATAATAAATTAAGGATCATGCTGATTATTTTTTTTGATTAGAATATTTTTCAATATATGGGTTAAATTACCTAAAGTTAATTTAGAGGAGATACTTATTGTACTTGTAAATAAGACAAATGAAAGACGGTTATTAGTCCATATAATCTTGAAAATGGTTTTGCTGAAAGACGTAGTTCTCTAGTTTATTAATGTATACAACAATTATGAATATGAATTAAAAATAATATAGTATGAATTACATATAATTTGAAGAACTCTGTATCCAACATGTAGGTAGCACTCACATACATGTAGGTCAAATAAACATTAACGTTTTTTTTTCTGTTTCGCCTCAGTTAAATATAAAAAGGGAACGCTCCTGAGGGATATTAATTGCAAAAACAGCACTGACGGTAAAAACTAAGTAATTAATGAATTTTATACATTTTAATAAATAATATTTTATATTTATTTTAAGTTAATATTATATCAGAAAGTACTTTTGGAATTAGTTTTGATTATATTATATTTTATTTTAAAAATTCTTTTTAGGACGGAAACATTTTAAGACGTATATGTATATCGGCGCTATCAGCTTTAATAACGGATGCGACATGAAAATAATTTGAGGCTGTCATCAATTCTTATTAAACCTCATTAGTATTCATGATTATTTTTAAAAGTAAAACGAAATCAAAGATTGTTTAAAAGGAGAATAGAACTATGTTTGAATCTTGGTATAAATATGACGTCTGGATGCATGACGGCAGAATTCAGAGTTCAGTGAGTGCGTATCATTGAAGTATGTGATTATGAAGAACCTTCGAGAAATACAGTAACATAAAGAACAATTGAAGTTTCATTTTAAAATATCATGGAACGTTCTAGAAGTGACATTAGTACGTCGTCGAGAAAAACAACGAATGTGTAATAAATCCGATATACAGGGTGACTGGTGAATTACTATCGTCGTGATATTTGACGATCATATATGACAAAATAAAAATTAATATAACTTAAATATTAATAAACTTCTAAGTAAAGTTAACCAAAAGTTATGTAATTAATTATGCATCGTATGAACACCCTACAGATTAGGTATACTGACACTCACACATACGCATGTCGTGACGTGGTGTTGTATCAACACGTCGCCGCACGCGTCCACACTTGAACACTTGGAACGTGTCAAACATATTTATACGGAAATTTTGTCACATGTACCGAGTATGTCCTAAATATTGATAGTAATTCACCAGTCACCCTATATATAATACATTGAATAATGTATATGAGTATACATATATATAAATCTCTTTTACTGAGCGATGATATGAATCAGGCTGTCAATGAAGTTAATTATGAATAAATACATATTTGTATTACAAATTATGTAATAGTTTTATTTAAAAGTAGCCATGTTTAAATGTTAAATGTTTGTAAATGCTCTGATTGTAAGATGTCATGTTATTTTCAACGTGTACGCTGATGTATTGTAGCTATCGGCAGCTTTTCGCTGAGTTTCGTAGTAGCGGTGTCAGAGTGAAGTTTAACGGAGATCGATGAGATTGGTCCACGCCATCGCCTCTTTAATCTCGTTTACAAAAGAGATTTATACGACTGCAGCATTCTATACAGCATGCGGGTCCGCTCATACTATACGTTAATAATCTAAAATATTAAAGGTTTTGATAAATATTATAATTAATTGGAACTATTCGATTACGATCACTAAAGTTTAAATACTTTTATTTTTCTATCAAGTTACACAAAACGTTTGTATAGTGATTAGAGTTGAGCAAGTTGTTTGCTACAATTTTCCCGAGAGAAATAAAGTGATCAAATATTGAAACGATTATCTTTCGATGTATTATTATATCTTATTACCATTCAGTAAATAAGTAAAAGAAATTGAGAATAATGTTTTATTGCTCTACACAAGCTTAGGGAGATCGTCTAAAAAATCTTTGATGTCTCAATATGAAATATAATATTTAGGCATGAAAAGTAATATATTTTATAACATTCATAAAACATTAATATTTATTGTATGTTAACATCCATACTCATTTTATAAACGCGAAAGTAACTCTGTCTGTCTGTAACGTGTGCACGAATGGACAGCTAAATTGATTATGTCGAAATTTGGTTTTGAATTAAATAGGATTATAGAGACAAACATAACTTAGCATTAATGACGGGTTATAAAGAGATATATTTAAAAAAATAATACAAATAGCAATTAAAACCGCAGAAATAATTTTTGTGGCACAATAATAATTTAAAACTTTTGTCTCACTGTAATATAATCAGGAATTTGTTTTCCAAACAATTGAATGACACCGATCAAAACTTTTCAAATAAAGCTAAAGGCGACCCTTGTTTACTTGGTCCTAAAGGCCGTCACCCACTGACAGTGGAAATGTCTCCTCACGGCATAATCAACTATCTATGTATAATGCATAGAAAATCTATTATACTTTAATTGAAAAGACGTATTTACTCATTATAATATTTCAATAGTATTTAAATTTCGTTTTGTGATGCTGATTAAAAATCATAAGGGAGCTAATGTTCAATTGTTTATGTTAGAAAAGACTTTATCGCAAAAGTTTTCTCATAATTCATTATTTGTTTATTAAATACTTACTTTATAACTAATAATGTGTGATGACTAAACGTTTTTTATATATAAAAGGTTCGTTATATAAATCACAAAAACTCAAAACATGGTTTAAATCAATAACCTACGTTGATATAATAATGGGGGAAAGTATGTGAATGAAAAAATGATAAACCTATGAACATACAAAGGTTTATCATTTTTAATCACACTATATACATATATAGTGTGATGAGGCAAAGTTGGTGCTAGTAACTGTATAATAGTAGGAAGCTTATCCAGTGAGACCGATTTTGCAAATGGTTTTTATGTTTCATATTTAAGAGTATAAGTTAAACATTATAAGTGAACTTTCAAACAGGTTTAAACGTGGATTTTTGCGTTTTACATAAAAAAGAGATTGAAAAATAATAAGGACTGAATGAGAAATTCAAAAAATCAATATAACAATTGTATTTAGTTTTATTTTGGGTTAAATATAATTATTTAAAAACAAAAACTCAAAATGTAAACGTGACGAATTTGTTCTTTAAATAAGTTGCATGTTTTTTTAAGTTACTGTTATGTGAATACAATTTATTAATATGTTTGTAACACAGACGTCGGTCTGTGTTGTGTGTGTGTATCTGTGTGCGTGTATGTGTGTGTCAGGGTAGCTCTCAATCTAATCGACCGCTTTTGATTCGGTTTTTTTTCATTTGGAAGACAGTATCGTTGCACTGGTTCTCAATAATGTTCGTTTCTAAAATTATATAAGATATTTAGGTCCTATGTGTACACGATTAAGATGCTACCCTGTGCAAGTGTAATTGTTAAATGTCAATGGCTACCATGAGTTTTTTTTTATAATTAAATAAAATGTTCACTATTTAAGTATAACAAAATTGAGAGGAATATTTTGAAAGTGAATTTTAATCAACTGTATTGTTATATTTGTATTTTGTTTATTTTAATTGTATTTTTTATATTTAATTTGATTGTTTTTGACCTAAGAAAATGTTCAGTGGTCATAATATAACACTATGCTTTAATAAACTTCCATTACACGAGATTTTAATAGT